AACTTTCCCTTGCAGCAGTGCATGAAACTGCTGCTCTTCACCATACTGACTTGGTGGGATGTGAGGGAATGTATTGGTTAATGAGCTTATAGAGAAGGAATAGCCACATCCTGTGACTTCTCAGCTCCATTAAAACTGAGCCATCTATATGTATTTCCTGAGTGTTAAAATTTGTTCACCACTTTAGAAAAGATGAATTTTTAAAAAATCTCTTTCTCAACTCCAAGCAGATGTACGAGAAATCCTCAGCAGATGATCAGTTAGAGTTCAAGGGTCCTTTTCATCCCCCTCAGAAAGTCAGTTATTTCAGATTTTTATGGTCCTGTTCTTACTCTTCCTCAAATGATCTTAATTAATAAACCTTGCATACCTGAAACGAGAAAGTCTGGAACAGGGGACTTATTAGAGATAAGAAAACAGAGGAGGAAAAAAAAAGGAAGTAGTTTCTTTGTTTCATAGGTATTAAGACAGCAGATGGTTCCCCTTCTGTGGTTAAAATGGCTTCTGTTGGGAAAGGAAGTAGTGGTACTCCAACACAAAAAGGCAGACTTGGGAGGGAGTCAAGAATGAACTCTTCTATCACATGTACAACACAGAGCCACTTCTCAGATTCATTATAATACATTGAGACACAATTTTAAAGTATTGCAGAGCACTGGCTTTATGACAATCACATTTTCATGAGTCAAAACCTGCTTAGGACATGTATTGCTTCATTGGATCATCTGACCAGCTGGGGAAAGAAACAGCCAGCTGCTGGGGGGAGTTCTCTTTGACTGGCTATTCCCAGACCTTTAAGAAAGGAGTCAAATTCCCCCTCACCAGATAAGAAAAGGTTTCTGCTCACAAATTAATTTCTGAGTCATTATCATCTGGGAGCTCAGGCATATCTTGGTATTCATAAATTATTTCAATGAAGGCTTCCCATCCAAAGGCCTCTTGTAACTATGAATCATAAGAAAAGAGACACAGTACAAAATACATGCATGGACATTTAGAATTACTCTACCTGCATTCTTAATAAATCTTCTACTAAATTCAGTTACTGATCTTTTTACAGGGTATTTTTGTTTGCTTTTCTTATACGTGTAGCTACCCCCACAAATTCTAAATGCTGACTGAAGAACCAGAGTAACCCTTTAACACCATCAGACTGATCAACAAGCCCATCTTTCTAATACTCAAAGCCAAAAATCAAGTATTTATATAAATGCTCCTCCTCCCAAAGGGCATGACTGTGCTTACAGGCTTGATTCCTAACTTTATTTTTACAGTTGTTGCAATTGTTCAAAACAAGATTGATACAAATATCAACCCACGTCTGTATGCTTATAAGTATGCATATTTAGAATATCTCTGCATACTTATAATGCATAAGACTCAGCACAAAATACAGACTCCCTGCTTGGTGACTCTATACAATTAATGTTTGTACTGTAAAATAATCCTGGGTGCTACTGAATAAAGTATTGCACCAAGAAAACTGAAAGACATGCCTAAATTCATTATTAAGAAAAAATTAAAGAAGATAAAAAGAAACACTTTTCAGTGATCAGAAATTATCTTTGGTAATGCCCAAAGGCTGTGGTTTACCATTACATCCCAAATGGATACATTCCAAAGACCAATGACCTTTGCACTGTGCTGAGATCACAAATGACTCGAAATAAGTATACTTTTTGTGGATTTCTTCTGCCTAAATTCATTATTAAGAAAAAATTAAAGAAGATAAAAAGAAACACTTTTCAGTGATCAGAAATTATCTTTGGTAATGCCCAAAGGCTGTGGTTTACCATTACATCCCAAATGGATACATTCCAAAGACCAATGACCTTTGCACTGTGCTGAGATCACAAATGACTCGAAATAAGTATACTTTTTGTGGATTTCTTCAAAAACATTTCCGCCCTAGGTCTGCTGAAGTGTGCTACTCAGAAACAGATTAGGACTGACTTGTGTTGGTTTGTGGAATCCTATGAGCTGGCACACACACACACACACACACGCGCACACACACACACACATTGTTGTAGACTAAGAGTCTACAGAGAGAGATAATCCAGGGTAGGTATCGAGTGGTTGCAGAAAGTGAGGAAAAGTAAAGAAGCAGCCCAGGATTAAAATGATCAGTTTGTAAATCTGTTGCAAGCGTAATTTGCCTGCACATTACCCTCAGGTATGTCTTCAAGGCAGTAAATACTTCCCAGTCCTTCAGCTGTGCTCCATTTTCAATGTAATCTTGAATCCTCTTCATTCTAAATTCTAGTGCAAGTGCATTGTGGGCCTTATCTCTTGGGATGCCCAACAGTCCCATTCACACAAACAGACCAGAGGTTGCAGGTGGCTTCTGTGGTGTGACAGAGAAACTCCCATTCAGATTGCTGCTGTGGCCCAGCTCATGAGTGTTACCCAAAGGCCATTGGCTTGGGGGGACTGCATATCTACCATCTCTGTCACTGACTCCAAATGATGCATGAAAGGGTACCCACTATACACCCAACCTGCAAGGAAGGTAAACAACAAACAATCTTGGCGATCTGTCTGGGAAAGCTCATGGTATGCAGCCACACAGTGACAAATATACAGTTAATTCTCTTTACGTTAACTCATCCTATGAGTTGTTTATCACGACTGGATGATGTGCTTCCACCCCCTGTGCTGGAGTATTGAATGTATGGAACACAAGCAAAAGTTGAATGTGCGTATTGTAAGCCCTTCTGCTACACTTTCACTCCTCAGCACTACCCAATGCAAAGAGCAAAAAAGGCTACATTATTTTTCCACAGCTACAGGCATTGCAGATGACCATACTCACAGCTACAGGTGTAGAGAACAGGTGTGAAAATTAATTCTGCCTGTTGAAGAATGGAGTCACTTGCTGCAGATTCTCAAGAGATGGGTGAGCTAGAGGACAGACAAAGAGAATCCTGACAGAGCCTAGAGGGACCAGATGCATCTGTGGCTGGCCAGGTCTAGCTGGAGAGGTGGATGGCCTGCCTGGAGGTGGACCATGTCCTGCCATCAGAACTGCTTCTCTGAAGCCCTTAGAGCTGTGCATTTCCCAGTGCAACTCATTGCAATGGAGGTCATTAGTAATTCTGCCAGTGAATTAATCTGAGCACTCGGTGTGAGCTCCCATTAAAACTGCCCTAATAGACTTCTGGCTGCACACCTGCTCTGCAAAAATCACTATTCCACGTGCCTACAAACAGGAGGAAAACCCAACACCTCCTGGTCCTGGAGGTCCTTCCCCCTTTAAACGCTCCAGAGGATGCCTTTAACAGCTGATGAAGGGAAATTATAGAAGGACTTATTTGCTGTACCTGCCAGTAAGTGGATAAATCATTTGATAATGTGGGTTCAGGACCTGGAGATAAAGGAAACCAAGATAAAGGTTGCCTAAGCCCCACAACAGGGAAGAGACCCCCAATACCTGTGAAGCACTCTTTAGAGGGTTTGGCCCAGCCAACCCAAATTCCAGGGAACTTCCCAAATCCTGAGGCAGCCTGGCCACCTCATTGCCAAGGTCCCTGGGTGGGGAACTGCAAGCTCTGGGGATCTCAGAATTGGAGGAAGGGAAGGAAGGGCACAGGAGGTAGGGGGTTCTGCTTTGCCCACAGTTTCCTCACAGCTCCATCAAAGAAAGGTGCAGACACCCAAGCCCAGTGTCCCACTCAGCTGAACTCTATTCATCAGATGCAGAGACCTGCTCACACCAGTTAAAAACATCCAAATTGTGTAATCTGGGACACATTCTTTGCTAGTGGGCTCTGAGAGCCCAGATGTGTGAAAACCCATCGTCTGGCTCAGCCCAGGCTCTGCATCTCCCTGGGCCTTCATGAACCTAAGTGCATCAGCCCACCTTCCCTCTCCAACTCCAGGGCAGGACATAGTACTGCAGGTCATGCCTCAGCCTAGAGGCTGACAACTTGGACTCAGAGCCTGGACTCAGAGGCTCTGAACAGTCTCACAGACCTATGAAGAGTTTGGGGAGCTTCTAGTGACACATCAGTGTCTGGTGAGAGGGCACAAGCCTGGAGCAGCTAATGCAAGAGGGGCTGTGTGACTGTGCAGACCAGCCAGGCTCCATGATGGGCACTTGGCAGCTGTGCAGGGAGTGTGTGAGGTGCTGGGGGATGCTGAGCCCCAGGGCTATATGATGGAGAAAACAGCCATGGAAAAAGTGCTGGCTCCTTACCCCCCAGGTGCCCCCAGCCTGGGTCTGTGCCCCAGCTGCCCATCTCCTTCTCGCTGTTCAAACCTTCTGCTATTTTTCCCAGAGCCTGGAACCAAGCCACCACCAGAGCAGGTTTCTTCCAGAAGCAACAGGGACACCCCTTGCCGACACACTTCTGGAAATGGGCACATGAATCACAATGGTGTTTGCAACTTCAGAGACACCACTGAGCACAGTGTGTGGTGTCTCCACACCTCAGTGGAGGCAGAAGCCTGCAGCCCTTGGGATAATTTATGCCTCAAAACAGAGATGCCAGAACATCCAATGTAGATATCCCAGTTTTGAGTTCCCCGCTGCACTGTACACACACACCCACAAAGGCTACCAGTCAGCAGCTTAAGACACTTTGCCTTTCCAGCTGCTGTCCTCAAGACCTGCAAGCCCTTAGTTCTGATGTTCCCCTCTTGCACTGCAGCCTCGCCCTCCTCTCTGAGCAGGCATAGCTGCTGCCCTCTGAAGGGACTCTTGCCCTTTGTGCCTGACTTGCCTGCTGGCAGCCTCATTTGGCAGGGGCTGGGCTTGGCAGGCCTTGCCTTGCCTAGGAGACAGAGTGGGACTGCAGAAGTGGTTAACGGCAAAGAAACTGCAACTTTATTTCCACAACTATTAAGTCAACATCAAGGTTTGCATTAATGCAGAGAAGTGCATGAGCAGGGCAGGGCAGGTTTTGGCACTGAGGCTGCCTTTGGATCAGCAAGTGTTGGTCCAGATGGCAAGACTGCTGATCCAGTACAGCTGCAGCAGAGTCTGCCCATCCTGCTGCTCAAAGTAGTTTTCCCTTGAGGACCTGCAAGAGCTCCTTCAGCAGATTAAAGAATGCTATCACCTTCTCACTTGGAAAGGGACAGGAGTGAAACCTGCCATCTTCCGTGGGTGTCAGCATCTGCATGGGGGTGGAAGTGCTGATTGGCAGTGCCGTTGTAGCAACTGGAGCTGTTGGGCTCAGGTCCATCTGAACCAGGATCCAGCTGTAGAAGTCCTGAGTGGAGATATAGATTCCAGGCTGTTTTGCTCTGGCACAGCCTTCTCCCCAGCTGGTGATGCCAACAAGCCAGAAGAAGTCAGCCCTGCTATCCTGGCAGACCAGAGGCCCCCCGTCGTCACCCTGCAGCAGAGCAGAGAAGAAAGTGGTGTTGGGTGACCCCTGTGAGCACCTAAGGCTGGCTCCTTGGCTCTCACAGCCCGGGCTGGATTGGCAGCAGAGCAAGACTCTGCTCAGGCGCCAGAGCGTGCAGAAGTTTGGCCCGGAGCAGGTCGGGGGCTCTCTCTGCTCTGTGCTCAGTGACCCTGGAGGTGCAGAGAAGGGATTGTTCCAGTCTGGGCATGCGGAGCTCTGGGCTGCCGAGAGCACTGGATGGGCTGGGGGACAAGGGAGGGCACTGGGCAAGGACCTGCAGATGGAGAAGGGGAGGGAAGGCCCAAGGGTGGTGGCAGTGTCCAGGCAAAGCACACGCCAGGCCGTGTCTGGGCTGTGGTGACAGGGCTGCCCGTGCGGCTGGGGCTGAGGGACTCACAGCGCTCCTACCTGGCAGCTGCCAACGCGGCCCTGCTGGGCTGGACGCGCCCCACGTACCACTGGCTGCCGGTGCACACCTGCACCACGAGGAGGCGAAC